CAGAAAAGCAATTGGTACCTGAGGTGTTGCTGGAAGGGGATTCCTCTTCCAAACTATAAACAATCCACTCTCTCTCCTCCTCCAGTCTCCCATACACTAAGAAGAATCTCCAATAAAGGTAAGTGTTATGCTGTTAATGTTTCATTCATCATTTCCCATTGTATTATGTACTACATGTATATTTCATGTAAAAAAATTTTTTGTTTTAATACTTCTGGGTGTCAGGAACGGATTAATTGTATTTACATTATATCTTATGAAGAAAATTGATTTGCAAATCGTAAATTTCTTTTATATTAACGGCTCCAGGAACGGATTAATTACGAAAAACGAGGGACCACTGTATATTGTTACTCACAAATGTAATTTCATGTTTAGATTCATCAGAAAGGAGGGCTAAGATTGCAAAAAAACATATATAAAGATAGGAAACCCATCTGCATTATGTAGTTTATGTTGCTGAATTATCATCATAACTAAGTGCTAAACCTACAAAGGTCATATAGCTTGTGTTGCTGAAGAAAACTTCCGAGGAAAACTGGGTAACCAACACTTGGAGCTTTCCCAGATTACCCCTGTAATCTCTGATATTCCATTATAAAACTGATATTATTACGTACTAGCAAAAGGCGATTAAAAACTGGAGTAGTTGGTAAAGTTGATGTGAAGTGATAGAGGCATGATAGAGGTATGGAATTTGTGTGTGTTAGGATTATGTCTAGATAATTAGTTTTTTTTTTTTTTTCAACAAGTCGGCCGTCTTCCACTGAGGCAGGGTGACCCAAAAAAAGAAAGAAAATCCCCAAAAAGAAAATGCTTTCATCATCATTCAACACTTTCACCACACTCACACATAATCACTGTTTTTGCAGAGGTGCTCAGAATACAACAGCTTAGAAGCATATACGTATAAAGATACACAATATATCCCTCCAAACTGCCAATATCCCAAACTCCTCCTTTAAAGTGCAGGCATTGTACTTCCCATTTCCAGGACTCAAGTCCGACTATATGAAAATAACCGGTTTCCCTGAATCCCTTCACTAAATATTACCCTGCTCACACTCCAACAGATCGTCAGGTCCCAAGTACCATTCTTCTCCATTCACTCCTATCTAACACGCTCACACAAAACCTCCTTTACCCCCTCTCTCCAACCCTTTCGAGGACGACCCCTACCTCGCCTTCCATCCCCTATAGATTTATATGCTTTCTATGTCATTCTACTTTGATCCATTCTCTCTAAATGACCAAACCACCTCAACAACCCCTCTTCTGCCCTCTGACTAATACTTTTATTAACTCCACACCTTTTCCTAATTTCCACACTCCGAATTTTCTGCATAATATTTACACCACACATTGCCCTTAGACAGGACATCTCCACTGCCTCCAACCGTCTCCTCGCTGCTGCATTTACCACCCAAGCTTCACACCCATATAAGAGTGTTGGTACTACTATACTTTCATACATTCCCTTCTTTGCCTCCATAGATAACGTTTTTTGACTCCACATATACCTCAATGCACCACTCACCTTTTTTCCCTCATCAATTCTATGATTAACCTCATCCTTCATAAATCCATCAGCCGACACATCAACTCCCAAGTATCTGAAAACATTCACTTCTTCCATACTCCTCCTCCCCAATTTGATATCCAATTTTTCTTAATCTAAATCATTTGATACCCTCATCACCTTACTCTTTTCTATGTTCACTTTCAACTTTCTACCTTTACACACATTCCCAAACTCACCCACTAACCTTTGCAATTTTTCTTTAGAATCTCCCATAAGCACAGTATCATCAGCAAAAAGTAACTGTGTTAATTCCCATTTTGAATTTGATTCCCCATAATTTAATCCCACCCCTCTCCCGAACACCCTAGCATTTACTTCTTTTACAACCCCATCTACAAATATATTAAACAACCATGATGACATTACACATCCCTGTCTAAGACCTACTTTTACCGGGAAGTAGTCTCCCTCTCTTCTACACACCCTAACCTGAGCCTCACTATCCTCATAAAAACTCTTTCAGCATTTAGTAACTTATCACCTATTCCATATACTTGCAACATCTGCCACATTGCTCCCCTATCCACTCTAATTAGTATTAGTGTTATTTGAAAGCATAGGTCCCCTCAATTCCATGAATCGAGCCTGAATACCTTCCACCCCCTCCCCCACAGGCGCCATATAATCCCTACGGATTTAGTGTTCCCCAATGATAATAATAATAAAGTGTAGGTGGTGGTAAAACGTGATAGTATGAAGAGTGAGATACTGATGATAATGTGAGATAGCAGCCAAGAGTCAAGATGCTGTGTTCATTATTATAATCATAACTAAGCGCTAAACCCTGCTGTGCTTGTGCATTTCAATTTAGATGAAGGTCCCGCCGAGTTTCCCCATTTAAAGGATGACTTATTGAGGTTCATTTATCGGCTGTTTTTCTTCAAGATGTACTCCATTATAGCTTCAAGTGTTGCCGAAGGCAGGGAAGTGGGAGAGTAGTGTGTGGAACAGGCGAGGAAAATCGGGTCGAGACATAGGTGGCCATTATAGGAAAAAGGGAATAAGCAAAGTACTAGTTGGTAAGTGATGCAGGAGCCTGGAAAGGTAGGACTGATATTTTGTTAGGAGAGGATAGGGAACAGTGTTGGGACATGTGAATTTTTGTTATCTACGTAACAGTAATTAAAATCTTGGGTAAATGGTCAGAGAATGCAGTAGTGTTTTCACTTGGTCTATAGATAGGTTTTGAAAGTCTGAGGTTGAGGCATCACTGGGACAGCTGAAGAGGACCTTGTAGGTTGTACATCATTGAAAGTGACAATGAGGTGGGAGCATTATCTCTGAACACTGCATATGATTTGAATACAGGAAAACACAGAACACTACTGGGTCTTGAGGATGCCTGGCAACTCTGGAGTAGGACATGCAAGACATTCTCCCATGTAGGCAGAAATGGGTAACATCCTGGTTAAACAATACCCCTTTCTCTTGCAAGCAACAAATTTCATTTTCCTAAAGGAATACAGGGTTCTGCAAGAATACAAGAAATGTACTTCATTGCAATTAAAGTATGAAGAGGGACTTTCACAATTTATAAGGATCTGGTTCTCCATAGATTGGACATCCTGCCTGAGACTTGCAATATTTTGCCAGTAACTGTAGCACCAATATTTGCAGCATTGTTATGGTGTTGATTTGAGCTCACTCACTATTATCATTACAATCAAAACTAAGTGCTAAACCCACAAGGGTCATACAGCACTCTAGGGCAGAATGTGCTAAAGATGAAATATGCAAAGATCAGAAACCTGTGAAGGTTAGGAGTAAGTTAGCTAGTAAGGGTGATGGGGAGTGCTGAAGGGAAAATACAACTGAAGTTGGTGTAATAAAGCTCCATCACAAGCAAGTGTTGACCTGCCATGTGTGCTGAGAGAGCGTATGGCCATCAAAGGTGTTTCACTTTATTAACTGGGTATGTGTTTTCTTGAGGGCAGATGCAAGTTTCAACTCAGGTGACTGGGAGGCATTTTAACTGAATTATTTTGGATGGCCAAAGCAATCTTTGAATTATTATTAGCTATAATAATGGGGGAGTACTAAACCCACAGAATTATACAGTGCATGTGGGAGGGATGAAAGGTATTCAGGCTCAGTTCAAGGAACTGGAGCACAGATCCATTTTCCTAGATCAAGCCCCTCACCAGCATCAAGGTACCTCCCTTGAAGGGAGCAATCTTTGAAATCTTGCTGTACAACCATGCAAGGGACGAAATTGCCGGGTCCTGCCAGTGATGTGGAGATGCACTGGGTTATCAACTTAGTCTACATCACAGACTCTGACAATGAGCATCCTACATTTTAGAGGGTGGAAGTAGATGTCCATTCTATCTTGTGATAGAATATAATAATTCAGATAAATCTAGATTCATTGCTTGCATTTGGAATATTTCCTTTTGTGGGAAATGTTTTAAGACTGAGTAGCCTGGAACGGAAATGAGTGAGCTACGTCAGTGATGTCTCTTGTCTCTGCAGGTAGCTTTGAACAACTTTGCCCTTTGACACACAAAGGATCCATGAATTCACATTGCATCATAGATGCAGACAATTTCTTAATGAAGGTCATGCAGGGGTCACAGGTACCAGAGAGGGCAGATAGATCCCCAGTAACTGGTTTAAACAATTATTAGAAGTGATTCCACATCCTGAGGGACCACAGCCATGATGGAGTTCGTAAGGAGTCAGTCACGTGGGATCCAGGAATAAACCTGTGACTCGGTTAACATAGGGTAAAATTAAATGGAAAGCAGCTGCGAGAATAAAGAAAAAGAAACCACATACCCACCCTGAACTATGGTCACCTCCACTGTGACAGGGTGGTGTACACCGCCAGGATGGCACCTCCAGAAATGACCGAACAAGGCTTAGCAAAACCACCTGCTCAGACAACAGCTTAAAGTGATCAACCATCTTTTAGCTTTTCTTCTTATATAATAAGTGCTAAACCCACAAGGATCATACAGCCTTTTAGCTTGTAATGGCAGTGGGCAAGAATGCCATGAGTCACACACAGTTGCCACTCCCTAATTCGATCATCAGTGTCTGCCAGATGGCCACCTTATGTCTTACTGAGAAATAACCTGACATACCATAAGACAATTCAATTTCCATTAGGTAGAGTGACATGACCACCACAGCACAACCCAGAGAAGGTACAACAGGGCTCTGTCTGAGCTGGATTTCCTAAATTAATATAAAAACTAAGTACTAAATCCACAAGGGTCATACAGCTGGATTTCCTAAAAGGGGTAAATTTCTTTACTAATGAGGCCACATGCAGCAGGGAGGGTTGCAGTGTATTTAGATTCAATCCAAGGAAGGAACAAGAAGTCAAATTTCTTTGATCAAGAGCTCCTTCAATGAGCCATGGGATCAAATGCTCAAGTTTATAGTAGCTACAGCTATGTTATAAAAATACAAATTATTTAGCTCCTATTTGCTTTATTACAGTATAATATAACAAATATTATTTTGATATTTTTAGATAAATCTTGAGTTGAAAATAACAATTTGTGTCAAACAATAAAAACTTCTTTTGCATTACAAATCATCTTGTAGGTTTCATGCTAAATATGATCAGTACAGTAAGTGTGAAGTGTTTAACCCTTATACTGTCTAAACATAGATCTACGTTTGCATGCGTAGTGCGCCGAACATAGATCTACGTTTTTTTACATAAAAAACAATGTAAAATTGGAAGTAGATCTACGTTCGGAGTGCTACGCGTGCGAACGTAGATCTACGTTTGGACAGTTTAACCCTTAAACTGTCCAAATGTAGATCTACGTTTTTTCAACATTTGAAAGTATGTAAAAAAAGTACTTTTTTTTTTTTTACATTTGAAAACGTGTAAAAAACTTTGATTTATGTTTTTTTTTTTTTGTTACATTTGAAAATATGTAAAAAAATGTAGATCTACTTTTGGAGCACTACGCATGTGAACGTAGATCTGTTTGGACAGTTTAAGGGTTACGGTAAACAAAAGTTGTTATCCTGTAGTTTAGTACGAGCGACCAAAAAGTGTGTAGAACAAAGGTGTGGTCTTGCAGGATGGATGAATACATGAGAGACCATTCACCTCCCCAGGCTGTTCAAAAGGAATACACAAGCCTTTTGCCCCCATAGATGGTGCTCCTGGCTCAGTTTCTTCACGGGCAGAGTCCTTCTTGATGGCATCTTCACATTCTTCTTTACCACAGAATGGAGCTAAGAGGATGTTGCCCTTGTCTAGGTTGCTGGTGAAATCATTCCAGGTGTTTACTTTTATTTTGTGTGACTCGAGGTCTGTACGTGCTTTTGATAATAGGTTGGCATGAATGTTGTCCAGTAGAGCTTTAGTCTCCACCCCAACAGCAGATCGGTTTAAGGCTTGTTTTTCTGCAGTGTCTCGACGCACAGCAAATACCTGATTTGAAGCAACTTCACGGGGTCCGAGCTCTAATCTTAAGGGGACACCTTTCAACTCCCAGTGATTGAACTTCCAAGCAGGTGTAACATTGTCACGTAGATCACAACGAGCTCGCACTCCAGCAGCAGTTAAGTCGGTAGCTAATTTATTACAAGCCACTATGAGGTTTAATTTGTCTTGCTCTGATGATTTGGCAGTAATTCCAACTGGCATAATAATTGCCTGCACAGAGGCAACCCGTGGAGGCAATACAAGTCCTTTGTCATCACCATGAACCATTATCATTACTCCAATGGTTCTTGTTGTTAGTCCCCAGCTGTTCTGGAAGCAGTATTGTTTTTGTTGAGTTTCTGGATCTTCAAAAACAATTTCAAACATTTTTGAAAAGTTCTGTCCCAAATGATGAGATGTTGCTCCCTGAATGCCACGACCACTTGCAGATACAAAAGCCTCTGTAGTAGTTGTAAAATCAGCACCTGCAAACTTCTCTTTCTCAGTTTTCTTGCCTTTAACAACTGGAACAGCCAAGAGTTCTTCATACACTTGGCCATAAAATTCAAGTATCTGATATACTTCTTCCTCAGCTTCTTCCTTAGTGGCAAAAGCAGTGTGTCCTTCTTGCCACAAAAATTCACGTGTTCTCAAGAATGGTGTAGGCTGTTTGAACTCCCAACGCACAACATTGTTCCACTGGTTAAGTTTCAATGGCAAGTCTCGGTGCGATTGTACCCACTTTGCAACAGCAGGGTACATCACAGTTTCTGATGTAGGACGAATAGCAACAGGCTCTGCCATCTCACTTGATCCTGATCTTGTTACCCAGGCAACTTCTGGAGAGAAGTCTGCAATGTGCGTCTTTTCTTTCTCCAGAGCTTCCCGAGCAACAAATATGGGGAAATATGAATTTTCAACACCTAAGGACTTAATTTTTTTATCCAAGAATTCCTTAATATAATCCCATATTGCATAAGACCAAGGTCTGAGGATATAGCAGCCTGATACATTGTAGTATTCAATCATCTCAGACTTGGTTATCACCTGTGAGTACCATTCAGCAAGATTCTCTTCCTTCTTCACCTCTAGACCCAACCTTGTCTGCTTCTTCAAGTTTCCATCTTGTTTTGCAGCTGCTTGTACCTCACTCTCTACAGATCTTTCCATTGGCTTTTTAGTCTCTTTCATAGATTTATCATTTGGCTTCTTACTCTCCATAGTTTTAGGTTTGGTTCCAACACTTCCTTCAGTGCTAGCAGGTGTAGTCACAATGCCACTTGAAACATCAGAAAGTATTGAAAGATCCATACCAGGCTTCCATTCAATATTTGTGCATTCATGGAACAGTTTTTTAAAGGACAAGAGCATATCAACTGCTTGTTTAATACTATCTTTGTCAGCTTTGTTTGCCTTTAATGATTTCACAATATCCCCTTGTTTCTGTATCTGCATATGCAGCTCAATGGCTTTAGCATGTGTGCCTGAACTATCATTACTAGCTATAACTCCATCACATTTTGAGTCACTGAACTGTGTAATGTCAATATCAGGTTTCCATTCAGTACTAGTATTTTCTTTAAACTCTTTCTTCAGTGATAAAAGTTTATCAACTTCCAGCTTCACAGCATCCTTATCTGCTTTATTGGCCTTCAAATTCCTTACTTTGTCACCTTGTTCCTTAATTTTATTATGAAGATCAAGAGGTAAATTTCCAGTCACAACAGAAGTAGCAGGACATGCTGGGGCAGCAGCATCAGATGTTGATACTTGTAAGTCAATGTCAGGTTTCCACTCAACATTTGTAACTTTCTTGAACTCTTTCTTCAGCTCCAAAAGAGCATCAACTGCTTGTTTGATGATGTCTTTGTCAGCCTTGCTGGCTTTCAAGTTCCGAACTATGTCACCTTGAGCTTTAATCTGAGAATGTATCTCAACAGCATTCTTTCCTGCAACAGTCACTGTTGGAGTAGTTGCCAGAACAGGTGCATTAGAAGGAATGGCTAAATCTGGCTTCCATTCAATTCCAGTTGCATCTTGAAAGTCCTTTTTCATTTGCTTTAAAATTTCCACTTCAGCCATTACAACATTCTTGTCTGCCTTGCTGTTCTTCAACTGTCTAATTTTATCACCCTGGTCTTTAATAGAAACTAATAAATTCTTCCCCACTGATGTACCAGATGCTCCAACACTAGATTTTATTTCCTCCTGAGGACTTTTTTCTGCCTTTTTGCCTTGAGCACTCTTGGCTTTCTCTTTCTCACTCATGCCTGCCAATTTCCTGATGGAAGATGCAGTTTGCATATCCTTGGAATGACCATCTGGGATGGAGAAGAGTACAACTGGACTTTCTCGACAGCTGCTCAGACTTACTGGCTTGTACACCTCATCCACCCTGAAAAAACCCTTCCTCTGCAGCTGTATAATATCTCCAGAAACCAGATTTTGCAACTCAGTATCACCTACCATTTTTACTTCAGCACGAGTATTGTGTCCAATAAAGTCTTTGAAATTTTCCTCTTTTCCAAGTACACTCTTACTAATAAGATGGTCAAAGTACACACACACAACTGGTGTGGTGGGAGCTTTCTCAGTGTCTGCAAGCCAAGTGAGCTTCAGTGTTTTTTTGTAATCTTTATCCTCAAGGTTGGGCTCAGCATCAACAGACACTATTTTTCCATTGCTCTTGTTTATTTTCTTTATCATGATATTTCCCCAATTGATGAAAGTAGCATTCTGTCCTTCCTTCAATTCAGCAGCATCTGCAGCCTCAATCAAGACCTTGGGCCCAATCCACACAGTTTTCATACCAATAGATAAATCTTTTGGGTGCTTCTGGGCACTGGTGGCTTCCTCATTAACACCAACAACATGAACAGGCACCAACTCACCTTGAAGTGCTGTGTAACGAGGGGCATAGCGATCAATCACCTTCTTATTGAAAGCCCAAATTTTGTCCCACTCCATGTTCACTACAGAACGAGATGAACCTTGTGCAACAATAAAATCTTTAAGTCCTTCCACAGTCATACCACGCCGCAATATACCCCGGACAGTAGGGAAACGTGGATCATCCCATCCATCAACAAGCCCTTCATCAACAAACCAAGTAAGTTTGCGCTTGGACAGAACAGTATTGTTCATGTTCAGTCGGGAATACTCATAGATGTGCACGCTCCTTAGCCCCAGCTTCTCTATGAACCAGTAATATTGATCATCACGATCATGATACTCTGTTGTTCTCAAAGCATGAGTAACCCCTTCTACACTGTCTACAATAGGACAGGCAAAGTCATACGTTGGATATACCTTGTACTTGTTGCCTGTCCTCACATGAGTCTCATTCTTACAGCGATAGATTGTAGGATCACGCATACATCCATTGTCACTCTTCATGTCAATCTTGGCCCTCACACAGCAAGTTACACCATAATCTGTTCCCTTCTTCATCTCTTCCCACATGGAGAGATTCTTCTCTACAGTGTTGTTATAATTTTTACTCTCCTTCCTCTCTTCACGCTCCTTCTTCATGGTCTCACCATCAGTATCATCACAATATGCCAAACCTTGCCTGATGAGTTGCTCACACATGTCCATCATAATTGAAAAATGATCTGAAGTATGAGTGAATGTCTCTGGCTTAATGTCCAGTAATTTCAAATCCTCCAGAATAACTTTCTCATAGTCCAATTTCTCCTTCTCAGGGTTGGTGTCATCAAATCTCATTATTAGTTTTCCCTGAAAAAGATATATATTTAGTCTATAAAAAATAGCATAAAATGCATAACTCACCATACAAAGTGCAACAATATTTACCAACCACTTCTCTACATTCTTAACAAGATGACACTGTCAAATATTCTTCTTCCCTTATTCTGTCTCCATTAGTATTCTAAACATTTTCTAAGAAATTCTACTGTTTGTTTTAATTTGATAAAAGAAAAACCCTGCTGTGTGAGAAAAGAAAGAAGACAAGTTATACAGTGAATGTGGTGAATAACACAGCAGCAGAAGCAGCGATACAACTAAGAAAACCCTTCATTGAATGGACCTCCTTTTAACAGACTTCAGAATTGCAAAACAAAATCCACTAGGTCAATAGATTTGGGAACAATGGATAAAGTCTTTTGGCAGTTGAACTACTCACTGTTGTTACAATCACGGCAAAACAACCCATTATCTATCCACCACAGCTGCCACTTGTTGTTAACCACTCCCCTGCTGGCTTACAGTATATGCTTATTATAATACTGTAAATGCTAATAATAATATATTTATGTAAAATATTAACAAATTTGAATCAATTGTAAAATTATACATACCTGCACCATGTTAACTTCATATTACCTGTATAGCATACCTTCTTTCAAACCTGATTAGTATTTTTTTATTAACAAGTTGGCTGTTTCCCACCAAGGCAGGGTGATCCAAAAAAGAAGAAACACTTCTATCATCATTCACTCCATCAGTGTTTTGCCAGAGGCATGCCAACACTACAGATTAGTATTAGTAACATTATAATTTATATTATTATCAGGTAATTATGTTCTTGTAACAATCACAATTATTAAAAAAACTTAATTATAATCTTCCATAAAATACTGTGTACAAGGTTCCCAAAATTACAAATGCCCTCACCTTTGTAAACTCCATCTTGTGAACTATACTCCATAATTTTTTACTACTACTACAACTACTTCAGACATGCATGTACAATACTGAACTTATTCTTCAATCTTGGTGGACAAAGCACTGTGCATTTTGAAAGTAATGTGACAAAGTAAATTTCCCTAACGTGATACCAAATTAATACAGTGGATCCCCGCATAATCGCTCACCTCCGAATGCGACCAATTATGTAAGTGTATTTATGTAAGTGTATTTATGTAAGTGCGTTTGCACGTGTATGTTTAGGGGTCTGAAATGGACTAATCTACTTCACAATATTCCTTATGGGAACAAATTCGGTCAGTACTGGCACCTGAACATACTTCTGGAGTGAAAAAATATCGTTAACTGGGGGTCCACTGTAATAATTGTCTGCAGATAAAAAATTAAGTGCTGGATTTCAAAAAGGCTACTGATGCCTGCCAGGTGAAGCGATTATAAATATAGGTGTTGTGAACAAGTTGTATGAGATGAAACTAAGCTTTAGGTAAGACATGACAAATAATTACAAAATGTCAATGTAGTATATGAAAAAATTACTGAATTAAAAACACACCAACAAGTAGGAGAGGAAACCAACAGCAAAATCAATGAAAGCAATTAATAACTTTCATTCAAAATACTGACGGTAATTTTTACCTTAAATGCCAACTGATAGTACTGATTGAGGAGAGCAGCTTTGGCATGACCTATGTGAAGGTACCCACTAGCTTCTGGGGGGAAACGAACAACCACCTCCCCCATCTTGGCTCCAGGGAGCTCAACAAACTTTCCACCATCTTCTTGCTTCTTTACACCCAATGCTGAGCTCTCTGCTGAAACTGTAGTGGTTTTGGAAGAATCAAAGGCTTTCTTGATTTCATCTGGAAGCTCTGCGATGACATTACCAACCTAGAGAAAAGGCAGACAATATACTGATTTGCAAATGTAAAAAAATAATATACCTTTCCTTGCCAGTAATTAACACCCCAAAAGTTTTCTTCAAGTCTACAGCAGAACATTCTTGTCAAAGAGGTTACTTTAAGCCTTGTACCAAGTGCTAGACTGCAATAATCAATAATAGTAATGAAGCATGAAGTGGAAGAAAATATATTACAAATTGTGCTTAAAAAGTCAATTTACATAACTACAAGACGCAACTGCAAGATTAATAAAATTAGAAATACTTATCTCCCACACACTTCATAGTCGAGAACTTTCTGAAAGAATAAAAAATCTAACTTTTTTTATTACACCAGACATCTCCTACCAAGCAAAATAAACACATTAACCATCATTATACAGTGGACCCCTGCATACCGGACGCCTTGCATAACGGACAATCCGCATACCGGACGCTTTGATTGCTAAAATTTTGCCTCGCATACCGCCCAAAAACCCGCTCAGCGCCCTTCGTCCGAGACGCGTCCAATGTGCGGCCTGAGCCAGCCTCATATGTTCCGCCGGTGGCATTGTTTACCAGCCAGCCTCCGCGGTAACATTCAAGCATACAATCGGAATATTTCGTATTATTACAGTGTTTTCGGTGCTGTTTCTGGAAAATAAGTGACCATGGGCCCCAAGAAAGCTTCTAGTTCCAACCCTACAGCAATAAGGGTTAGAATTCCAATAGAGATGAAGAAAGAGATCATTGATAAGTATGAAAGTGGAGTGCGTATCACCGACCTGGTCAGATTGTACAAGAAACCCAAATCAACCATCTCTACTATTGTGGGCAACAGAAAGGCAATCAAGGAAGCTGTTCTTGCCAAAGGTTTAACTGTGTTTTCGAAACAGAGATCGCAAGTGATGGAAGATGTTGAGAGACTCTTATTGGTGTGGATAAATGAAAAACAGCTAGCAGGAGATAGCGTTTCTCAAGCTATCATAAGCGAAAAGGCTAGAAAGTTGCATGAGGATTTAATTAAAAAAAGGCCTGCAACTAGTGATGATGTGAGTGAATTTAAGGCCAGCAAAGGTTGGTTTGAGAGATTTAAGAAGCGTAGTGGCATACATAGTGTGATACGGCATGGTGAGGCTGCCAGTTCGGACCACAAAGCGGCTGAAAAATATGTGCAGGAATTCAAGGAGTACATAGAAACTGAAGGACTGAAACCTGAACAAGTGTTTAATTGTGATGAAACAGGCCTGTTTTGGAAGAAAAATGCCAAGCAGGACCTACATTACTCAGGAAGAAAAGGCACTCCCAGGACATAAGCCTATGAAAGACAGGCTTACTTTGTTGATGTGTTCCAATGCTAGTGGTGATTGCAAAGTTAAGCCTTTATTAGTGTATCACTCTGAAACTCCCAGAGCGTTCAGGCAAAAGAATGTCCTCAAGGATAATTTGTGTGTGCTGTGGAGATCGAAACAGTAAGGCATGGGTCACTAGGGACTTTTTCTATAACTGGTTACACCATGCATTTGCCCCCAATGTCAAAGATTACCTAACTGAAAAGAAATTAGAACTTAAGTGCCTCCTGGTGTTAGACAATGCCCCTGGTCATCCTACAGACGTGGCAGAGCGACTTTATGGGGACATGAAATTCATTAACATCAAGTTTTTGCTCCTAATACCACTCCTCTCCTGCAGCCCATGGACCAGCAGTTATTGCAAACTTCAAAAAACTGTACACAAAAGCTCTGTTTGAAAGGTGCTTTGTAGTGACCTCAGAAACTCAACTGACTCTAAGAGAGTTTTGGAGAGATCACTTTAATATCCTCAATTGTATAAACCTTATAGGTAAGGCTTGGGAGGAGTGGCTAAGAAGACCTTGAACTCTGCTTGGAAGAAACTGTGGCCAGAATGTGTAGACAAAAGGGATTTTGAAGGGTTTGAGGCTAACCCTGAGAGGAGTATACCAGTTGAGGAATCAATTGTGGCATTGGGGAAGTCCTTGGGGTTGGAGGTTAGTGGGGAGGATGTGGAAGAGTTGGTGGAGGAGGACAATGAAGAACTAACCACTGATGAGCTGATAGATCAACTTCAAGAGCAAGAGGCCAGACCTGGGGAAACTGGTTCAAAGGAGGGGAGAGAGAAATTGAAGGAATTGCCTACTACAAAGATTAAGGAAATGTGTGCAAAATGGCTTGAAGTGCAAACCTTTTTTGATGAAAATCACCCTCACACAGCTATTGCAAGCCGTGCTGGTGACTGTTACAATGACAATGTTGTGAACCACTTTAGACAAATCATAAAGGAACGAGAGGTACAGGCCACTATGGACAGATATGTTGTGCGAAAGAAGTCCAGTGACTCTGAAGCTGGTCCTAGTGGCATTAAAAGAAGAAAGGAAGTAACCCCAGAAAAGGACTCGACACCTCAAGTCTTAATGGAAGGGGATTCCCCTTCTAAACACTAACACTCTCTCTCCCCTCCTCCCATCCCATCAATCATCACCAGATCTTCAATAAAAGTAAGTGTCATGTAATTGTGCATGCCTTTTTCAGTTTGTGTGTATTAAAATTAACATTTCATGTGGTAAAAAATTTTTTTTTTCATACTTTTGGGTGTCTTGCACGGATTAATTTGATTTCCATTATTTCTTATGGGGAAAATTCATTCGCATACCGAACATTTCGCATAACAGCCAGCCCTCTTGCACGGATTAAGGTCGCTATGCGGGGGTCCACTGTATTATTTATTTGAATTGGGAGGGAGGGGGGGAAAGTGATAAATGCATAGGCTGTTATATAGCACCTGGGGAATGGAAGACATTCAGGTTCAGTCTAGGAAAGGGAAGGATAAACCCATTTCCATGGATCAACAGCCCCCTTCCTCACTGGCAACAAGCACTTCCTTGTAAAGTAAAAGGACACAAGTGCAACTAATGTGACATTTTATTGTGGCAACGTTTCGCTCTCCAGGAGCTTTGTCAAGCCGTTACAAACAATACATGGACACAGAGGGTATATATAGGCTCAGAGTGAGGTGCAATACTAGAGGTAGTAGTAGTAGTAGTGACATAAGTTGTAGTAGTAGTAGTAGTAATACAATATGGTAGAGCAATTAACTCATAAATGAGTAAAAGGATATAAAAGCTATTACATACTTGGGTAACATAAAAATAGGTAAGACAAATATAGACTGTTACACAAATAACCCGCACATAGAAGAGAGGAGCTATTTGTGCGGGTTATTTGTGTATCATTCCAGTCACGGTATTGTGCCTTTTTTTGTTAAATATAGATTGGATAGAGGCAGCCTGTTTCAGTGTTCACTCTCTGTAATGTGCTTTGTGTAGTATTAACAAGAGAGACTATGTGATGGCAGGGTTTACTGTGTTCAGGAGGATTCTTGCTAAGACTTCAGAGATGGTGAAGCTGCCTTTGTTTTGTTTAATTGTATTCGAAACAGCGATTAGTGCTGACTCAAGGCACTTGCGTCTATGGAAATTAGTTTCTTTGATCACTATTGGGCGTCCCTGAATTTCATGAGATGATTGGTGGAATTTCGGTGTTGTTTACAGGCGTTATTCAAGTTATCGATCCTACATGCGTAAATGTGTTCATTGAGGCGGGTGTCGAGGTTTCTTGCTGTTTCACCTACATAAATCTTGTCGCAGCTTCCACAGGGTATAGTGTAAACCCCTGCATTGACTGGTTCGTGGTGCTTTTGATTTTGTCCTGGTCAGATCCTTTATTGAAGTGCTGAAAGCGATGGCAACTCTGGTGTTAGCTTGTGAAAGTATACTTTAGAAACGTTCAGTGCAACCTGGCTGTTGGGAAGAACTATAACTTTGTTAGGAGTGGTGTTGGTGCGTGGTGAATTAATGATCTGAAGAGCTCTTTTCTTGCAGTCTTTGATGAAAAAAGAAGGAAAATGTAACTCAGTGAAGGTTTGGTGAATGTATGTACATTCCTTGTCAAGAAACACTTCCTTTAAAGGGCATTCATTCTGTAGTTGTCTTGTCAGAAATATATGGGCATCACTATTTCAATAGCCATCCAAATTACATCTCTGCTCATCCCTTGGCATGCAGGGACTATACTTTCCATCTCTAAAAGTTCAAGTTCTGCTAAATGCATTCCCTGAATCCCTTCATACCTGTTACCTTATTCACACTCCAACAGCTTATCTAATCCCAAGTCACTTATTTTCATTGCCTTCATCATGCCAGTTGAATGTTTAACTTCCAATCACTGAAAATCTCCTTCACATTCTCATTCCAGCCCTTCCTGGAACCTCCCTACACCTTCCTTCCACACTCAATTTATACACCCACTTGATTATCTTATCTTTCTCCATCCATTCTAAATGACCAAACCAACTAAAACTACTGCTCCCTGAACTATATCTTTCATATTATTATATATTCTAATTTCTTCATTCCTTATTCTCTGCTGATAGAAAAAAAAATTTAATGCTAATATCTAGCAGATACACCTACCATCCGACTTACGACCGAGCTCGGTTCCGAGAAACCGGTCGTAAGTCGAAATGGACACAAGTCGAATTTCACTACTGAATATCAACATAACATTTTTGTAATGACTTCATTTTATTGTTTTATTTTGGTATTTCATGTTTTACTTTACTTTTTATGTTGTTAGTACTGTATTTTATACTGTAAGGTTTAGGATAAACACTGTGTACAACACAAACACTTGTTTATTTCCCAGAAATTTGGCATAAAAAACACGATCGTAAGTCGAGTCGTCGTAAGTCGAGCAGGTCGTAAGTCGGATGGTAGGTGTATTATGTTCCTAATCAAAATGTATTATGCTCCTAATCTTGGTAAGGGGCATATATTACATACTGATAACTGGTACACAAGCCCCATACTCAGTGATTTCTTGCAAGTGAACATGACAGACGTGTGAGGCACAGTGTGTGGTAATCGAAAGCATATGCCAAGGTTCGATGCTGGCACTTGTAGAGGTGAGGTGCAGGCCTTTGCTGCCAATGACAT